TCTGAAACAAAGCCTTTAAATAAAGTCAAGAGAATCTCATTCAAATCCACTCTCGATAAGATCTCTATTATCTCAATGATTCTCTCTCCTAGATAGGCTCCAAAATATCTTCACATTATCTTCTCAATCTCCAATTCAAATAATACAGTAAACTTTCAAATTTGAATTAATTATCCTTCTAAACTTTGAATTCGGATTTAACTTTCTCATCCACCATCACCTTTATAGCACATAATCCAATCTATCTTACCTCACACGTGGCCTTATTCTCCAAGCTCCTTTCACTTTCAACATCAACAATATATGTTTATCACATGCAAACCTCCCATGCTTCTCGTAATATATCAAGCTTGATTTGATTTTAAACATTCTTTTGTAAACGTTATCCGCAAGCTCTAATAACAATAATCGTATTAAGCCAAGAATTCAAATCTGAAAACAATCTGATCTCTATGTAAGCTTTATCTCCCATTTAAATTCAAATAACCAACGCCTTATCTTCTTTTGATTAGGGTCTTATCTTTATCTCTCTAAATCTCAGCCAATGTCTTATCTTCCTTTAACCAAGCATTTAACCTTATCTCTTCAAATCTTAACTCAACAAAATCTGCAACTTTAACTTCAAATCTGATTCGAATTCTTCTTCTGCAATCTGAAATCTTCCTGAACCTATTTTTTGAATTTTTACAAGATTGCCAATAAATTACCAACTAATAAAAATACCTAACAATCTCCCCCTTTGGCATTTTTTAGAAAAACTAACAAAAGATCCTAAAAATTCAAAAACCTAAAAAATTACAAAAATTACATTGTTCTCCCCCTTTTTGTCAAAAATAAGCCAAAGACACAAAAAAAATAAAAATAAAAAAATTCACACCCTAGAACCGTCTTCAGCAGTTTACTCCCTATGAATCTTCTCTGTGTCTTTCTCCCCCTGAATGTAGCATTCTTCCTTGTATAATGCTCTTAACACCTGTCAATCGCTTAGTGCAACTAGCATCACTACACCCACAATCATTAGTACATGCTTCTAAAGAAGTATAAGCCTTATGACACCTAAAATCTGATTTTCTTACCCACACACGTCTAGAAAAATTATTTTTCACATCAATCTTCATGTTAGGTGTCTTCTTTGAGTTTGTAGAATTTGGTGGATTAATAAACATACCTCTCTTCAAAGTATTTGAATACTTGTAGCATCTCGGTCTTATGTGGCCAAGTAAACCGCAGTAATGGCATGTGGGGACAAACCTTCTATGTTGAGGGGATGAGATAGCAACCTCTTCATCTTGAGCCTTAATGAAAGCCTTCATCCAGGCCTTCCAGTATGAATAATTCGAACCATTGAGCAGAGGGCGATGTGCAACTGAACCTTCTTCCTTTAGAAAATACATTCCAAACATAACAGATCAACCCTCTAAGATCTCACCGAACATATGGTCAGTGAACCTCTCTGATACCACTTGTTAGATCTGATGTTACGTCCGATGTTCCAGATGATGTTGGAACATCGTATGGAAGATGACTTAATTAATTAAGATCCGGATTTCTTACTGTTCAAATTGTTTGAGTAGAATAAAGTGCAGAAATCAAAATAGACACGCAATATGGTATCGCAGTTCGGTGCGCACACCTACTCTGTTGGGCCACGCCCAGACAATAAACAGTTCACTATGTTCCAGAAATTACAGACACTGGACGGACTTATTTACTCAAGGACTAACTCCTAGACAACGACGCCGCTGTGACGAATCTCCACAGTGATTTGTTTAGCGTGCACCACACGTCTTCTTAACTGCACGGCGAACTCCCTTCGACCGACAGAGCTTCCTCCCGAAAGCAACAAATCCCTCTCCCGAAGGACGATCTCAATAACGCACTAGGCTCACAAAAACTCACAGACGTTTCTCTGAATATTTTCTTAGTAATAAGCTCTCAAATTCACAGACTTTTCCTCTGGAGATATTCAATTAAGTCCATACCCATATATTCTGAAACAAAGCCTTTAAATAAAGTCAAGAGAATCTCATTCAAATCCACTCTCGATAAGATCTCTATTATCTCCATGATTCTCTCTCCTAGATAGGCTCCAAAATATCTTCACATTATCTTCTCAATCTCCAATTCA